TATATCTACCTTTAAAAAGATGTGAGAAGAAAAATAATTTTCAGCACCACAGTTATGTTGTGCAACTATTATATCAAAATGTAATAGCCACACAGATGAGTAAGTGATGAGCATGAAATAAGGAAAATATATTACTCTAATTATAATGAAAAAATCTTAATAAATAAGCAATGTTTAAAAGTAGAATAGTTTCTGGACTGAAATGCTTCCTAATACTCACTGCATACTGAATCATTGCTGGATTCATCCACATGTAGATGGCTTGTGTTGGAAGGCAGCTTAAAGACAATCTGGTTTTAACTCCTCTGCAACGGACAGGGACACCTTTCACTACAGCAGCATGCTCAGAGCCCCATCCAGCCTGGCCTTGAACACTTCTAGGTATGGGACAACCAAAGCTTTTCTGGGCAACCTGATCAGTGCCTTCTGATACCTAGTCTAAACTTACTCTCTTTCCCTTTAAAAATGTCCCCCTTCTGATATCATTAACTGCCTATGTAAAAGTTGTTCTCCATCTTTTTTTATAAGTCCTTTCTATGTACTGAAAGGCTGCAATGAGGTCTCTCTTAGAGCTTTCTCTTTTCCAGGTTGACAACCTGAGCTCTTTCAGATTGTCTTCATCAGTGAGGTGTTCCAGACCTCTCTTCACCTTCACGGCCCTCTTCTGGACCTACTCTAGCAAGTCCACATCCTTCTTCTACTGAGGACTCCAGACCTGGACCAGCACTCTGAGTGGGGCTTCACAAGGGCAGAGTACAGGGGGATAACCACCTCTACTGACCTGCTGGGTGCAAGTCTTTTGATGTAGCCCAGGATGCAGCTGGCTTTCTGGGCTGAAAGTGCACATTGACTGTTCATGTCCAGCTTCTCACCCACCAGAACCTCCAAGTCCTTCCCCTCGGGGTGTTCTCGCTGATTTCTTCTACTCTGTTTTCATGCCCAGGTGCAGACCTTGCACTTGGACTTCTTGAGCTGTATTAGGTTCATATGGTCCCACTTCTCAAGCCCACAAATGGCACAATGGACAGGATCTAGATTACACTAGATATGCAAAAAATCTAATTTAAAAAGGTATAGTTAATGAGATGTCAGCAATCTTATGAGAAACCAGTTGTGTCCTTATTTTATTTAATGTCCGAGTTCCTGAGGACACAAAACTTTTGCAATCCTTTTAACTCAATAGTCTCCAGTATATTTTAACCCTTGTCCAATATCAGGCAAATATAGCAGAAGGACAGAGACCTAAAACTCATTATGATTCTATAAGCCGGTTAGCAGCTACTGGGTAAAAAAAAAAGGAGAAGGACCTGCTAAAAAACAATCAGAGAAAATTTTGATTTCCTCAACATATTTGGCAGGAGCCAAGTGGTAAAAGAGAAGGCAGATAGCCCTGGTCTGGTCACCAGGTGGGACAGGTCAGGCTGCAGCACATGGCAGTGAGAAGATGAGTGAGAGGGTGCTGACTTTTCATGACAGGAAATCACGACACTTCTCATGACAGGAAATAATGACAACTGGCTGTACTACATGGAGCTGGAGACACAGAAAGGACCACAGTGGAGTATGATTTTCAAAAGAAAATAAGTAGCAGATACTTTTACACTAAGTTAACTAACAAGGCCAGATAGCGGATACCTTACTAACACTGAACAGAGTTAATGTCTCCTTCTAGGACGTGAGTTTACTTTTTCAGAACCGATGGGAGCATCTTCATATCACATTCCCTTTTAAACATGACTGTGCATTTTTCATACAATGATATTGTAAAAAGAGTGGCCAAACTAATTATGCAGATATGCAATTTCACGTTATGTTTACTGTTGCCATGAAACTATCAAGTCTCAAAAATCAAGATTTATAAAAATTGCTTTAAGTCATAAGTTGTATTTAAATTCTTCTTTATCCTAAGCAACTGAGCTATTTGTATCAAAAATCAAAATCTACAAATTAGAGTCTAGACACAGCAACTATAGTTCCTCTGCACACTGTCCAGAATTTAATCATTAACATTTGATGTACAAAGCATGTCAATAGAAGCCTCTGCCTAGTGTGATGGTCTTGATGCTATCAGAATCTCTTCATACAAAACAGAACACAGAGAATTTATTCATCTTAAGCAACACCAGAGAGAATTAATGAAAGAGAAGTATACAGAAAATTCTGATGTAGCTCAAGGCTGATAATAGCGCTATTAGAAGATGGAATACCTTCTATCAAATTATGAAATAAATTTATGACTATGAAATTAGGCCCTCAGTCATCAACCACAGGGATCCATCAGTGGTAAAACTAACAAGAACTGAGAAATGTAAAAATCTTCCCACACAGAGCACTGTCAGTCAGCTTGCATTGAATAGATAGCTTATTTATTACTTGTCTCTTGAAAGAAAGGAAATTTATGAAGATATAGAAAAAGAAATCAGTATTACATGGGACACACAAGAAGTAATTCATAAGCAAAAAATATGTGAGGTTTCAGGCTGTTCTCCTGCTGAATACACAACCCCTTTCCTACTTTTGAGACATACTACTCTTTTGCAATCAGAATTTTTCAGTTATATTTCCTATACCAGAAATCAGACTGATAAAATTATGCAGTCCTGTTTTATGTTTTCCTCCTAGATTTTTTTTATATTTTGGAAAACTGTTGCTCTTCTGGTAGGACTTTCTTTGAAAGGAAGTCAACTCTATTTAGAATGAACACCGAGAAAAACACAATAAACACTTTATAGCAGATATGTTTGCAACCTTTATTTCTAAGTTTTAGGTAGAGATTTAAAGTGTTTCTTTAAGGGGAAAATTCCTGCATATCTTACTGCATTTTGCATGTCTAATGAACACTGATCTACTAAAGCCAGAAAGGTATATCTTTTAAACATAGGCAACAAAGTATATTTATAAATAAAACAAATAATAGCATCAATCAGATGTACTTCCCAGCACATTCTCAAGTAAGGTACTCATACAGTTAGAACCAGATTCAAAACTCACAAGTATGGTAACGGAGAAAAGGAAACTAACCAAAAGAAAGTCTGTGGTTTAGCTGAGGCTCAGCCTGTCCCAAGGGTTATGCACTCGATATAGGCAGTTTTGGTTAGCACTTCCCTTGAATTCAATTCTGAATGTGACAAGCCTCAGTAAGTCTCATTTAGCATTCCGTCTAATAAGGAAATTGAAGAGAAATTTAACTGAAAATCATGGCACACAAAGGAAACAGAGGAAAAATAAACAAAGAAGTTATTTCTTTTAGGGTAAGACTCGTGTATATAGCTCATGATTGTAAAACGGCCTTTTTTTAGATCAACTGCATTTTCATTCTTTATTATTAACATGTAGCTACTGCTCATTTGCAAGGGGTGTTCTTGAAAAGGAGGAAAGAAATAATATCACTCGTAACTGTATACAGGAATCTTCTGTAAGGAAAGCAAGCAAATGTTTGCATTCTGCAAGACTTGGTCTAGAAATAATGTTTTATGTTAAAAAGAATATATATAAAATACTATTCTGCCTTAATAAGTTTTCATTAAATGTGAAATGTTTTGTTGTTTTCAATGAAATTGAAATCCTTAAAAATGTACAAATTGTAACATTAACATTTTATATTTCTTTGATTACTGAAAAAATATTAATACAGATAAATAGATATGGCAATGAACATTTCTGCCTGCCGATCAGTTTGCCATCTAAGCCCTTCCATTTAAAATAAAAGAGGCCAGTTCTTGAAACCTGATAGGTAGGAATCCATTCCTGCATCCATTGAGTCTGCAGGAAACTTAAGACATTCCTTCTTTTTTACTTTAGCTCTTGTTCAAAGATAAGCCTTACCTCTTGCCTTTCCAATAGTTAGGAAGTATTAAATAGAATGATGAATGCAATGAAGAATTTGTGGAACATAAAACCAAAAATATTTTACTTAAGGGTATGTTTCAAAAGCTTTATGTTTTCAAGTTTTTGTGAGGCACAGAGTAGATGCTCATTTCTACAACACTCTTAATAAGCCTACTTACTGTTTGGCCAGATTTTATACAATTTGTATTGCCAGGGAGCTTTGTTTTTCCTTGGAGCCTTGTGATCTCTACTACTGTTTATAAATCTTTTAATTCAAAAAGCTTAAGGCATTTCCCAGTGGATGTACCTTGACCTACCAGCCCATTATGCTCTACAACAGCTCATGCAATGTCTGAGACTAGATTGCAATATTCTTTAGCCAATATGCAGAGAAAATGCATTTATGTTCCAGAAGATTTTAAAATAAATTGTTGACTGAATTCAGAATTCTTACAAGATCCCAGCTACTGTGTCACATCTATGCATACCCAATGAGCTGGATAGAAATTAACTTCCTATTAGTGGTCACATTAAGATATTCTATTCTGGTATTTACTCCTCATATATTCATGTGATAATATTGTTTGAAATCAATATCAGCAATTCATTTAACTATGATAAAGTCAGGCTCCACCATTGCTCAACAACAGTGAGAAACATCTTAGATTTTGATCATCTGAAATGTAATAATTGATCTTAAAAGTTTAGTTGGGTATAGAGAAAGCAGAAGAAAAAGATTTGATAGATACATATGGAAGCAGCCAAAGGCATGTTGGGTTAAATGTTTTAATGAATTGCCTTTTGCTGTTATCCACCATAGGAACATCATAATTCCCTCATGGGATCAAAATCACACAATGATTGAAATATGCATTTAATGAGGGCTGGAGAATAACCCACATATGAGAACAGTATACCTTTGTAACCCATCTCAATATTATTCAGTGGTTAGATTGAAAGAAATCTTTACTAGTTTTAGTATTTTAGCTATACCATCTCTGTTATTTATCTGGAAATGCTGGAAAATTTAAAAAATATTGGTGAATCCAAATGTTTTCCAAGCTGCCTTTTCCCCATGAATTTGACTACTAACTCGATTTCACTAATAGCTTCTTACTTCACTGAAAATCAAGGTGATTTTCAAATCAGTTATATGTTGAAATTGTACATACTCTGAGGAAACCTGGGTGGATTGTCGTTGACATCTGTGAGTGTGATATTTACAGTTGTTGACCCTGACAGCCCTCCGACCTGCCCAGCCATATCTTTGGCTTGAATGACAACGGAATAATGCTCTCTGGCTTCCCTGTCCATATTGTGCAAGGCAGTCCTGATGACTCCTGTGAGGGAAAGAAAACAAACAAACAAACAAAAGATCAGGATTAGCTTGTTCAAGCAAGATCAAAGGCTGGGCATAACCTTTCTTTAAAGGAAAGATGAAGCTAAGTGGTTTTCAGTTGTTTGTGTCATATATATATATATACACATACATAAAACGCAACTACAGATGCCGCTACACAATAAACCTGCTGGATAATATGAAGAAATTGAAACAATATTTATTAAATCAATTATTATATTGTTCAATAATTAATCCAACTTATAGTATTCCTGACCCAAAGTTACATTACCAAAACAACAGTTTTTTCTCATATAATTCTTTAAATAGCCACATAATAGAAAAATCAAAGAATTGGAACTCTTACCCCAAGGAATAAGACACAAGGTGTTTTTTAACAAAAGGTAATTTCTTAGTTAATATATTACATATCTCTTAAAACTACCCAAAAAGCTAAATTTTTCCTATTTGACAAATCTAAAAAAAATATTTGTTTTTGATACGTCATTCATATAGATTTTTGTTTATGCTTCACCTAATTAATAATTGTAAAGTAAAAGATAAGATTTTTATTGTTATTGCTATGTTAGAGAGAGAAAATCAAAATTGAATGACCGTAAAATTATGTTGTTTTTTATCCGTTATCATCAGAATTGTTTTTCACATTTAGTTACCTATATATGTAGAAGCAAAGATTAAAATAAAAGTAGGGGAAGACATCTCTATGGGCACAGCTTCAATTAGGAGACATTTTCCACCTATGATGATACCCATAAATTAAACCCAGCTAATTTCTTTGATCACAGACTGACAGAAAAATCATGGAATTCAGTAAATAGAAATTCAAGTGCAGTGGTAGGGAACTACTACATTCTGTGGACTGACTAGCTGGGAAGGAGCTTTTCAGAAAAGAATCTGGTGTGGTCCTCAGGCTGAACATGAGCCAGCCATGTGTCCTTGCAGCTAACAAGGCCAGCATCTTCTCAGGCTGCATCATGAAATGCATTGCCAGACAGTCAAGGGAGAGGATCCTTCCCCTCTGCTCATCAAATCTGCAGTGCTGGGTGCAGTTCTGAGCACACCAGTACATAAAAGATATTAATAGACTGGAATGAGTTTCATAGAAATAAATACAGAAACATGTAAAATGCCCAAATTATTAACATTACATTTTTAAAGAGCTAAAATTTTAGTATAACTTCTATTGGACTCTGAAAGTGAGCTCTTGCTACCAATAAGTAAATAGCAAAGCACCATCAGATGTTGCTTCTGGGTAAATTTTAATCATATAATAATTACTAATGCAAAGAATCTTAAGAAGTAGAGCCTTCAGGAGAACTTTATGTACAGTACTATTCTCTAGATTTTTTGACTCACACAGTTTCAGATCATGTAAAAAATATATTTTCTAGAGCATTCTCTTTCTTGTGTTTTAAAATTACTTTGCTTTTCTTCAATAAAACCATTTAACCATTACTACATATGAAATGGAACATTTCATGTAGCTCATACCATTGTTTCCATTCTGTTCTGAAAGCAAATCACACAAAAACAATGAGATCTATGCAAAAAGAATATTTTTTTTTTTAAGCAACCATGAAGTTTTACAATTATTTTAACACAATTTTGCACTGTAAATTACTTTCCATCAGAAGGGTAGATTGGGACAAACTGGCTAAAAATGGTATACCAGTACAGTTTAGTTCATCAGTGCTTTTTTCCTCAAAATGATACTGTTTGAAACATAAATTTTTTTCAGAAATTGCAACATGATATATTGAAAATAACCACAATGTATACTCACTAGAAATTTAGAAAAGGAAATTTACATAGTCATTTATATAAAAGGAACTCCTATAATTTAAATATGCATTTTCATAAAAATAAATATGGTTCACAAAATCTGGTACTACTGTTCTGAAAATACATTTACTGATAAATAGGAATATGGGAATGTCCTGCTTTGACTTTTCAAATGAATTGGTTTAGTTTTTTGCATTGAAACCAAACATATCATGCTTATGCATATGCATGTAATAAATACAGGATTTTATTAACAGAACCTTCCATTCCAACTTGTAACAGACTAAAAGTAACATAGTAGAAAATGGCTTCTACACTATCCTCCCTAATATTAGCCTCTTGCATTTTTAAATTTATTTAAACAAACAGAAATTCCCCTGATTTATGGTTACTTTTCTTTGTTTGCTTCAAGGGGTATGACACTTAATCAAGGCTTGTAGATAGTTAATAAGGATTTGTGGATGACTAATCATGACTAATCATTTCATCCCTTTCACTTGCAGAAGATTCCTCTTCTCTGAGAACTGAGACAATGAAATTGGGCAGGCTCTTAGTTTCAAAACCTTGTATGCAATAGTTTAGAATAAGAAAACTAGTTTTAAAGTTTTGATGGGCTGAAGGCAGGGGGTGAGAGAAGATTTAGTTCCCTCTTTTTCTTGGGTTTCATATCCATTTATACATCCTGAAATCATATCGTCAGTATGAGGTACGTAACTACTGTGAGGTCTCTAATGCTCTGTCCTTGTCACTAGCAGCTCCACCAATTCCTGGCAGTACAGCCCTAAAATCATGCATAATCTCAAGTTTCACTATTGATCTCAAAATATGTAAGGAGAACTTAGTTGCCTTTTTCACTAAGATAAAATTAAATGATCCAGCAGTCTCTTTTAAAGCAGGGATTGTTCCTGAGTATCTTCTGTATGCTTGGCAGGGGTTGGTATACATCCCACAAGAAGACAGGAAGTTAATCTTAAGAAAGATATTTCCCTGACTAAAACATTTACCAAAAAAAAAAAAAACTTGAAAAAGAAAGCTGTCACAGGTTTTTTAAATTTAAACACAGCCCTAATTTTGCCTCATATTTCTGAGGCAGCACTGTGACCCTGTTAAACCAAGTACTTCTCAGCTATGCCTTCAGTATTTATCCATCTTTGGTAGGAAAGGAATACAAGAAAATTTAAAAAACCCCAAAATGTAGACGTCATTACAGGTAAACCCCATACTATTTCTGGTATTAAGCAAAGAATTTCTACAGAAGTTTGACTGGTATGTCAAAAATCAAGTGCAACATATGGAAGGGTAAATCTATTTGAATGGAGCTGAGAAGAACCCACAGGTTTGGACTTCTGCCCTCACAAATACTCATACCTATTTCCATCTTAAAATTATGAGAGATGGTTTTTGTCCCACTTGGAAGGCTCTCCCAAAAAAACCACATTTTCTTCTAACTTTTATAAGTTTGTTCGCCTCTAAAGCACACCAGTTTTGCTAGGGTTTTTTAATTTTAATATTTTTTTTTGCTTGTGTGTGACAATTTCAATAGTTTTCCAATTTGAATTTATCTTTCTTAACCATGTATGATGAGAAACCTACTTACTTTCCAATTAAGATTTTAATGCCACCTTTTTTAATTGCAACATTTTTATTTTTAATATGGAATACATTATATTGGTGATTGATTTTTAAGTGACTAATAAATCCACGGCATTTTTCCACAGTGATATTTCCAAATTAAGAGACCAGAATTACTGTAGAACCATAGAATCTCTTAATGTGAATAAGACCAATAAGGATCAAGTCCAACCCCCTGTTACTCACAGGACTAACTAAAACTAAACAATATGTCTTATAAGTACTTTTACTATCTAATGCTATTAAACTTATGATTATGCTTTTCTTGCTCTTGCCTATAAACACATAAGCCTCCTTCTGTGTACTGACAGTTCTTCACAACCTTTTGCAATTAAGAAATTTCTTCATGCTGGTTCTGTATTTATCCTCAAAGTATCAGATAAAACTGAGAAAGAAAAACTCTGAGATGAAATATTGATATATATGCTATTGTGGATAGCTCCTTTCCTTTTCTCCAGCATCTCTGGATTTGAGAAAGAGAAAGCCCTGAAAATAACTTCAGTTTTGTCAAGTTTTACTTCCCTCTCAGGTTCTCTGAATTCATTCTTGTTACTGAATTGCAGTCAATACCTTTTCTTTTACACCAAATTTTCTTAAAGATACTTTTATATGCTTTGCAGTATCTGACAATGTGTTATTTTGTCTTTTTTAGCAGTCTGTGAAGAACCATTTAACTTACATAAAAGAAAAGCTACAACAGAAGGTTCCACTGTAACTGGGACTACAAAAATCAAGACTTTTTAAATTCAAGTGCAGACAAATACTAAGAAAATATCTGCTACAGCTAAGTGCATAGATATGCATTTACTGAAGTATTTTACTATGTACTTACCTATTAGTCGGGTACACTTGAAAGAATTTATCTTATTACTTACACAAAATAAGAACTCATTTACATTCAGTAACCACCTCAGAATTTTAGTCATCTTTATTTTACAGCCTACTCCTGCATGATGTCTGAATTGCCCCAGATAAAAGATGGTCTAATTTAATATTTTGAGCTCAGAGGTTTTCTGTCTAGTGGGGAAAACAAAAAGAAAACAATCACACAACTCCACTTTAATGGCAAACTATTTTGTCATGGGGAATTAAGTATTTTTTTTAATTGGAAAACTTTCATTCTGTTGTTGAAACATGAGCATGGTCACTAGATATTTGATGAAGGGCCAGTAAGTCACATTCAATTCCTCATTTTCTAGTTTGTTATATACCTGTCTTGCCGTGATCATAGACAATTATGATTCAAATGTAATTCTAAATATCTATTGAATAGCCAACTAAATGTGGGAGTTTACAGTTTGCTGAGGGATTTGAAGTATTGCAGATGGTAATTTCATTAATATTACTCTTTTTTTTTGAATAAAAGCACTATTTCTATCACTGCTTTTTCTAGGGTATGAATTTAGCCTATTTTATTGTAACTTAATATTCTGAAGATCTTGTATGTATTAAAACATATTTCAAATTCTAATATTATTCTACCTTGAAAGAGAAACACAATTTTCCCATTTTAAGACAGATACTGAAAAAGTCAGAAAATACATTTTTTTCCTTAAAATTTGAAAA